TTGTAAAAAAAAATTGTGAGTCAAAATAGTAGAAGTAATGATTATAATAAAATAAGTTTGACTATTCATGATAAATAACTTTATATCGTAATTAAAAGAAGTATAAAATTCATTCAGTTCTAACATAATAAATTATTGAGTTGATGTGAGCAAAATGAATATTTGTGTGTGTGTGTGTGAAAATTCTATTGCACCCATACATGTATCCACGCACTTTGCAATTTGGGCGTTCAATGATTGTATCTGGTCTTACAACTATAGTACACATAGTAACGTATACTAGAACTGAAAATTTGGTTTGGCTACTATCATGGTTGTATAGTTGAAATATGTCATTTATTAGCAAAACTTTAAAAAAACAAGAAGTATTAAAAGTCTAAGCCGTAGAACAATCGCATTAAAGTGGTATTAAGGTACATAAAAGCTAATTTTTTTAACGATCTAGTTTTTGAAAGTTGTATGTGAAAGTGGCCCCCACTCAATATAAGAACTATGTGGTAAGCCTTCTAAAAAAAATTAACGTGTTTAATTAAGTTAAAACTTTGTTTTTGTCATAATTGCTTTAAATATATGTTATATAGAAATATACACATTCATTAACAAAAACATGTAAAATTTTATTTCTGTCTTGAAACCTTTATTTTTTATTCTGAAATAGATAACCGAATAAACATTTGATTGAAATTATGCGATTGTTTTAGAAATGTTAAGATACATTTTTCTGAATGCATGTATACAGTTTTAATATGTTTTAAATATTATTTTCAAGAATAAAATTTATTTCTAGTTAAAATTATAGCGAAAATATTTGTTATTCGAAAATAAATATTCAAAGAGTTCTATGGACATGTATGAGCTAAAAGATAAAATAAGAGGCAGGCTGCATTTTTAGAATAATATACATCCTTAAACATATTTATTCGAATAGTTACAATTGCACTCCATTAATAAGTAATTGACGATTAAAGGAACTGTAGTAAAGTTCAATCGTGGTAATTTATTGCTAAAATTTGTAAAAAAATATTATATTGATGGTCTAACTCCACAAATGAGCACGGAGATTCTGTCTCTTTATGGTTTGATAGTGCTCTGTAAGATAACTCATGAAAATTAACCACCTTAACGAAGCAATGCACACACGATTTTTATTGTAACTTTAGTTTGAATTAATGAAATGTATGTATGTATTACTATCATGTCAAAAATAAACAAACAAATACAAAAGTATATCTGGAGTTTAATAATTATATTATTATAAGAACTTCAGCCCACCAGGGACTATGTAGTCATGTATATATTGAAATGAAATGGATAAAAATGAGCTTTTAAATATATTTTAGAGTATTATGTATGATAAATATTTCCATTTATAAAAAGTTCTACTGAGTTCTTTAATTGAAATTGTGTGGGGAGTCAGTGAAGGTCAGGACACTAAACGGTATTAGTTAAAATCGGCGAAGAACAATAATGTTAAGCACTAATCAAAATCAGCAAGTACACTGGAGAGTCAACAGCAGTGAGGCAGAGAGAACTCAACAGAATATCTTTGACACTATCTTCTGATGTGACATACTGCTCACTATTGAAATGTACGATCATAAAGTTGACTGCTTCTCCAAGTCAATCCGTGACAGAACATGGAAAATGTATAATACATGGCTGTACTCCTGTAATGTGTAATAAATGAATCCATATAAGGAATTCCATTTTTAATTTGTGTTTACATGTTCCAAAAAAAATCTTTTTTTTCAAAGCACACTCTAGAACCAATTTTTTCTCATTCTATGTACCCTGTCAAATAAAGGAAAAATTGTGAGCAAGCATTTCAGGGATTGTGACACTGCTTTCCACCCCACTGAAGATTTTGAATACTGGTTTTTTAACGTTAAAAAGACAGACAAAACTTTAAAATATTAGGAACTGGTTGAACCGTACCAGGTTTTAAAAAAATCTTGTTTTTTCGGATTTTGTAGGCGTTTGAAAACATTAATCCCCCTAAACCTATGCATAACCTTAAAATGTAAATAATTTAAGGTAAATTAATTCATCTCAAGCCTCGCCATCAACTGCAGTACCAATAATTGGTGTGAAAATGTATTATTTTACTTCAAAAATCCTCTCTCAGAGGTTTTGTAGGTCACTGATTATGGATTAGAAGTCTATTTGCAAGCAGGGGTAGTTTGAACCCCTCGAAATCACCCCCACTTGCAGTAAATCATGAAAAAATTTATAATTTACCTCCAAAATCGTTTTACAGGAGCTTTCGAGGTCGTTGATCACAATTCCGAGGTTCATTTGTGCGCAGGGTTAGTTTCAACCCCTAAAATCACCCTCACTTTCAGGAAATCCTAAAAATGCTACTATTAAACCTTGGAAGTACTCTCTCAAGGAACCATAAAGAACTTATTTAAATATCGCTAGTTAGAAGAGTCAAATGGCATCGAAACCACCCCTGAATACAAATGGACCTTAAATGATGAGCAACCTTGAAAACTCCTGAGAAACGACTTTGGAGGCTAGGGTATAAATTTTTTTAGTGATTTCTTAAAAGTGGGGGTCATTTCAGAGGTTGAAACTACTCCTGTTTGTGAATAGACCTCTGATTTGTGATTAGTGATCTCAAAAATCCCCGAGAGAGGATTTTTGAGGTAAAATACCACATTTCCATAACAATTTTAGGTACTGCAATTCATATGGATGCTTTAGACAGGTCAATTCACCGTAAATTATTTACATTTCTAGGTACCTAATGGAAAAGTTAAGGGTGATTCATGTTTTTCAAGTGTCAACATAATGTGGGGAAACAAGTTTTTTTTAACCTGGTGTGATTTAACAAGTTCCTGACATTTTACAATTTCCTGACATTACAATTTGTTGTAGTTTATAGTATATTACTAACTTAATTAATTGGAGAAAAATAAAAATTGCAATGATGACACACTCAACTATCAGTTTCTTGACAGTCATAACAATTAGTTTTCCCATTTATCTTCTAATCCTCAAGTTAGCTCGTTAACCTCTTACTTATTTCTTACTAATAATAACTTTCACATTCTTGATAGTATTTTTAATTTTACTATTCATATTTTTCATGGATAGTAAGATAATAAATATTAAATGCTATCTAGATTACAACATGTTCTTTACTATCTATAACATATGAATTATAAAACAGCAAAAAATCATGACCATATTTTAAACTTTTCAGATGAGTTATTTCTTTTAAATCTTGATTGTACATTGTACTTTATTAAATTTTTTTTTTTCCTCTTAAAATATCGTATGAAGCTTCGTTTCTGCATGTCTTTGCACTTTTCACTCAAATTTTAGAGTTTCAGACATGCAATCTATCTTTATCTTTTTTAAATATTTTCTTATAGATAAGATACCTAGATAAAAAAATGTCTTATCCTAGGACCCATCTAATATGATTGATTTTCATTTTTAAAGATTTGAGAGTAGAATTTATAATTGAAAGTAAAATATATATCATTGAATAAAAATTTTGTCAAAGTTGTTACATTATTGAATGATATTACAGACGCTTGAAGAAGGTTACTGGCTCATCTCTCTAGACTTTGTACAGTCAGTTTGCACGACATAGTTGTAAAAAAAGAAACTACGTCAAGCAACACCAATACATAATCGTTTTATAGAATAACTATAAAACAATTTCTTGTGTTTTTTTTCTTTTTTTTTTTTTAATACTGGGGGTGCACATCAGG